TGCTTCTCTGAGAAACATCAATCTCTCTTCCCTGTGACCCCAGGTTAGGCACTTGAGGACAGTGGCTGGAATTCCTGCAGCCTTCTCTGGGCTCAATACACCCACCTCACTTTCCTAAGCAAGATGTGCTCATTTTTGGACCACGTTTTGACCTTCTCCCGGACTTGTTCCCATTTGTTGGTCTCTCTCACACCAGAAGGCCCAGGCTGGACATGTTCCTCTGGGTGCAGCCGTGCAGAGGGGCTCTGCACATCCCTTAAGCTGCTGCCTGTGGCTCTGGTACCACAGCACCGTATTCAGCCCGGTTCTGCTGCCCCAGGGCTCACTGCAGACTCGAGCTCCCTTTGTCCACCACAGATCTGGGCATCCCCTGCCTGCCCAGGCCCTTTTCCACAGGGTTCCTGCTGCTGCTGGCCAGCCAGCCGTACTGCACAGCAGGTTCCTTCCCCAGCTCCTTTCCCTGGCATCTCCCTGTGTCCCCCAAGCTCCCATCAAGGCACGTTTCCCTCTGGGGGGCAGCCTTGCTCTCCAGCACACCACTGCAAAAGCAGGCTCCTGCTCTGGGTGTCCTTCGCAAGGACTCCCCACCGCACTGCACAGGTTCCCAGGGGCTCTCTGTCCTGCCCAGGTCCCTGCAGTGTGTTTGGTGCTCCTGGCCCGAGGGACAGAGCTGTCACGGGCTGCCAGCAGCTGTCCAACCCCTGGAGCTTGGTGGCCCAGGTTGTCCTACAGCTCACTGTAGCCATTCCCCCTGCCTTTGGTGCCCACATCTGCCTGCTGGGATTCTGGGAGAGCCGGTGTTGGAGCCTCACCAAAGGCAGCCTCAGAGCACCTGGCTCCCCTTGGCTGTGCAGACAGGCAGCACGCAGGCCTTTTGGATGTGGTTTTGGATTTTGTGGTTTTGTTTTTTGTCGACCCACGCTGGTAAATCCCAACCACCTGCTTGCTTCCACGTGCCCAGATCCTCATTCTTGACGTTTTTGAAGACAGGCATAAGTTGTCCTTTCCACAGTCCCAGGAGACCTCCCTCAGCTGCAGCCTTTCAAAGGCAGCAGTCTCAGATTGGCCTCCTTCAGGTACTCAGCAAGACCTGGCTCTTGGCATCCAGCACAGCACCCTATTGATACAAATAAATATGAATACGGCACAAAACCAAATATTAACATTTCTAAAACAGTGTTAGTTTAATAATAACATAGTAATATAGAAGAATTGTAGATATTAAAAAAAATAAATTTTGTTTTACTTGAAATGATGGTCATTCCAAGAAATACTTGAGGATGTTTCAGCTGTCACTTGAAACAAGAGCATTAAGGAAAAAATAGTTTAAAAATATAGAAGCCACAGGAAGAAAATTATTGTGACCACTGTGAGCAGATGATGGCTGTGGAGATTTAATGTCCAACCAGGCATGAATAAATAGTGAAGTACCTCACTTATTCAAGGTGACATGTTCAAAAGATATACAGTAAAGCTCACTGGGTTATTGCCAGATCCATAAAGAAAGTGGAACACTTCCTGCAGAGTTTAAAAGCACCATGCTCTTTTTTTTTTCTGCCAGAAAAATGTGACAAAATCTTTTGCAAAACTTTCTCACCATAAAATTCATAGCTCAAGATCAGATTGCAAAGTAGTAAAACAAGGCAACTTATTTCAAATGAAAGTCTCTTTCTTAAAGGGACTGCCTTTTAGTTATCAGCAGATGGGCCCAGTGTAACATTATCATCAGAGTCCAAAAGGTGATATCGACTGGGCAATGTCCATGCTAGCTCCTGTCTTCTCTTGCTATTTGACCAGAACTGGAAGGAAAGATTTTATTACATTTTGACCTGAAGAAATGAGAGACACACACACTAGTGAATCTGCAGTAGCTATAGAAGACCATATCACCATTATTTTTCTTTTAAAAAAAAGCAGTCTATATAAATCTTCAATCTGTACAGACTAGTTGACCAGATCTCTGTTTGATAACCCTTTGTGAAAATCTTTTATGATACAGAGACCATGATCCAGTCACTCGTCCAGCAGAAAGTTCCTGCTGATGTGTCTGTACCTGTATCTGGCCTGGATCCTTCTTTTTCTGCTACTGAAAGATGGCAGTGCCAAGTGATAATCCTCGACCCACAGAGTGCCCTTACAACTTTTGACTTTTCATACAGGAACAACTTGCAGCTCAGAGAGCAGTCACCAAATCTAGAATAATAGATGTACTAAAGGATGTGATCCCATTACTGTAACCTTATTACCTTAGTGGTTTTCACATTTGACCTCTTACTCAAAAAAGCTAACTGCACTGCCAATATTATATATCCATACTTGTTATCTGTTACAACAAATGCATGAATTTCATAGCCAGCCAGTGTCATGATGTAACACTTCAGAAGAAGGTATCCTAACATTACAAAAAAGCTGCTGATTGCATTTGTCTGAATATGATACAACTTTTCTTTCTCTTGTAAAGCTCATTTTTAAAAGGAGAGATCCCAGCAGGCATAATGGGAGGATTTACCATTTTTCCTGTAATTATCATCTCAAATGCTTGGTCCTGCATGTTGTATACAAAACTTTGGTGGCAAGCAGAGTTTCAGCACACAAAATGTAAGTTAACAGACAGTTTTGATTAAGAATCTTCCTTGGTTCATAATCACATTTTTTAGCTTCTTATACTTCACAGATTAATTCCTTTCGTTGCTGAATGACATAATGCATTCCTTCACCCTTCATGACCAAAATATTTCTCCATTTTAAGATGCTCTTCGAAATAATCAGCTGTCCAAGAAATCTACACATGCTTAAGCCAGTCCCCTTCTTTTCTGTATTTCATATAGGACCATTTTTAATTGCAGAAACCTATAATTACTTTAAGTTTCTTATCACCAACAGTAGAATATAAAAAGAAAAAAATAGTGTTTTAATACACAGACAACTCGTTTCCTGAGGAACCAGTTAAAATACAGAGTTCAGTAAAACTAGCTCATGTTGGACAGCAACAGGCTCCTGACAGGATTAACTCCTCTGAAGGGAGCTAAGCAGTTAAATCTGACTCCCTGCAAAGCCAGGCACTGACAGATGCACATGGCAGGGTGTCTGCCCGTAACCCTGTGAGTGTCAGGGTCCACAAGATGAATACAAAGTCAACTGCTCTCCCAGAGGATGCTAAAAGCTTGGATTCCCTTACCTACCCTTTGGTAGGTGATTTTCCCATGAGTTATCCTCTCACAACACAACTGACAGCTCCACAGAACAGGGTAATTGGGGAGAATTACATTTGCAGAAAATGGTCTGTAATAATGTTGCTACTATGATGTATATCTCGGTCTGTAAAATCTCTACTATAAAGTTTCTGAAGTTTTTTTTTTCCTTGGCCTTTGTGGATTTGTAATGGCCCTGTTGGCTTTGTATTAACCTTAACAGCCTAACAGTTGAGTCTTTTTACTCTTGTACTCCTTACTTTCCATTTTTTATTAACAAAGAGCAGGCTTTTAAAGAATAGACTAAGCTTTTCAGCAGTAAAAAAAGATAAGTTCAAGGCTTCCCCACGCACCTCCCTTCAAAAGCTTGCTGCTGGGTCAAGCAACTGCATGCTTTGCCCATACTTCAGAGCAAGCCCTGGCTCCCAAGTGACCTGCTTCCAGTCTACCCAGGTTGGTTTTAAAGTTAATCCTTCATCTTCATTAGCAATGGCATGACCATGGTGTAGCATATTGGTGGTACAGTAAAACACTCACATAATCACACACTTGTCTGTGCTGCATCTTCCTCCGAAACTCTGATGTAGTGAATTTTTACAGTCTTGCTGCAAAGAAGTCCCAGTAAAGGCTGTTACAGGATGCAGTGAGGAAGAGACATTAAAACACAAGGGAAACAAACACAGGTTCTGTAATTACACTTTATTGCAACTCTGATGCTTTGTCTGCTCCTGGAAGACTCCTTTAGCTATATTTGTTTCAGGCGTTTTTTTTCCCTGTAACAATTAAAACACAATAAGCATGTATAATTTTCTTATCATTTTATTGAAAAGGTACATTTAAAAAAATACACAGACATCTTACTATTATGGATTGCTGATAAAGATGCTCTAAAAGTTAATTCTCTTTTTTTTTTTTTTCCTTTCTTCCACCTGTAGTCCCCATTATCATATAACAACTCCAGTCTGAGCACTGCATATTGATTCACCTTTATAAAAGGATTGGGGAGGTAAGAAGATAGGTGGGACATTACTTTAATATACTCAGTAAACAGAGAATATGGTCAATTATAAATATTTTATGTTCTGTACATTATTGCATTAGGGAGCCACAATGTTATGCAGCATCATTACAAAGGAAACTAGTTAGAAATTAAGAAAACAGGATATTTACGTACAAACACATGGATCCATTGTCTTCTTGAACAACGCATGTGAGCTGTGGCAATGTGCAATTGAGAAGCTTTTTTTCTCTTTAAACATTGCTTAGCAACACCAGTGAAGAAACAACAAAAATAAGTTAAATGAAAGTAGCAAACAAGCAGTAATCTTAACTCTATGTTATATGGCTTTCTATTCTTGATTTCTCTAAATAAAGTATGACACAAAAGAAATAATTAAAAGCTTCAGCATTGCATTGCTTTCAAACATTTGCACAGAAACTAAAAATATTAAAATCAGACATGGTACATCTGTAGTACTACACAAGATACACCAGTACTGGGGTCTAGGACAGCACACAATCCCTGTCAACAAGAGCACACGAAAATAATGGATGCAATTATTTTTTGAGATGTTATCTGCAATCAAGCATTTGGTTCATCTCCCTTTTTCTTTTTTCCACATTAGATTATACCCCATTGCTTTTCAGAGAAGTATTTACATAGGTGTGAGTGAGGAAGACCCTAGTTTTCAAGTCTGTCAGGAAAATATTTTATGTTCCTTGATTCCAAGGTGCATCATACAAATTGAAAAAAAAAAAAAGAAAAAATTAATAGATGGATGAATCTTTAATGGTACAAATTTTATGAGCAATTTAATTTGGAAGCAAATCACACTATTGTGATTAAAAAAATAGAGACAGAGAGAAGACAGAGTTGTCTAGACTCCAAAACGCAGTGCTGCCAGTGATGGATTTTATGATGTGCTTGGATGAGGTGTCATGCTGGATGGCATTGCAAAAGAGAAACATTTTAAAACCTCAACCCCTTTCCTGCTTTCCTTTGCCCTTTGTACTGGCCATAGTTATCTCTTTTCACATCAATAAATTAGTACGGTGCAAAGAGTATGGAGGCAGGCGTTGCCCGGATGGGCCCGTGGGCTGGCCTGAGGAGGGCTGGCGGAATTGCTGGTGCTTGGAACAGGGATGCTGAGGGCCGGGGAGGTAGGGACAGAGCTGAGGAGACAGCTGCAGCTGCAGCAAGAGGAGATGACAGGAAAGCAGGTGCCAGCGGCTTAATCATGTCCTTCTGGAATGCGAGTTTTGCCTGGAATAAAACACACACACACAGGCAATGTAAATGCAGTTCTCCCAACAACCACTTTTGCACAAAGGAAAAAGTGAACCCTGGCACAGGGAACACTGTGGCTTCTCACAGAAACCTACTACCAGCTGCTTAGAAATGTTACCTGCACTGTCCTCTTACTCCCAGGGCAATTAATGTAACCTAATCCTATATCTAAAGATAAAAAGATCTCCTGAGTTTAGAGAACATCTTACTGATGTTTAGAAAGAAGCAGAATTTGCAAGTGAGTAACTTTATATAAATTATAACTGTGTGCATGAAATATTAAAAACACCCTCATGATTAAGACTTCAATATAAAAAGTCAAATTTTCCACTTGCAAAAATGAATTGTAGAAAAGTAGATTGGACAAGATGGGAAGGTGGTATCAGGTCAGTCAGCTTTGCGCCTTCCAATGCAGACCTGCTCTTTTCAAAGTAGAAATATTATTTTAGATTGATGCCAAAAATAATTTTTTTCTGAAATATATGTATGACCCTATATAGGATCTACAAGCATTGCTGGTGCTTGTGGTGAAACAGCTAATCAGAAATAGATACACTCATATCTATATCTCTCGCTGAAAATGGTTTGCACTACAATCACTCAATTGTGGAAGCAAAAATACTCATGTTCTTCCTTTATAATTGGTGGTCTCTCCTTATGCAATAGATGATAAAATGATGTATTATACAAGTAAAGAATATTAGCATGGCCAGAACCTATCAAGTGGGAAAACTTAAAAGAAGCCTATAGCATTTCCATTTGCCTCTAAACAATTACAAAGACATATCAATATTTTAGCATTTACAGGCTTTTCACATGCTTTCTCTTACCTACACACATTTGCATCTGTTTCTTTTCAACCTGTGAACTGTTTTTTGTGCCACAGGTGGCAAGCACTTTTCTCTAATGAACAATGGCTGTGTCATGAGCAAATAAACATACGAACTGTGCTGTGCTAAAGCCAGCCTGAACTCTGGCTGCAGATGACCAGCAGGACCAGCCTGGGGGATTCCTGGAAATGCAGGTGGGTATGACAGGGATTAGCTAGTGGCACAGAGACAGGAGAGGTGTTTGATACCCAGTGGCAGACATGGCCTGAACATTCAGGCAGTCAATTCTCCTGAACAGGTGATGGTTCTTTTGCACCAACTCATAGATCCACACAGCATCCTGGTTTGCTGTATGCAGACAATGAGCACTAGTATTTTTATATCTTAAGAATATCTTTATATCTTAATTCTATGTCTTTTTCCCTGACTGCATCCATTTAACTTAGAGTTATCTCAGGTGTGCAAAAAGACAAGAGTATACCCATTGCTGCCTTCACAGAAAAGAGCCCTTGCCCAGCAGAGCCAATACTTTTCCATGGGGCACATGGTTCATTCCCCATTCCACTGATTGTTCCCTCCTTTCTAGCAGTAAATAACACTTGCAGTGCTGTCTGCATGCCTTGGACTGGGCAGACAGAACACATAACTATCTTCAAATCTGATTCCTGTGCAGACTCAGCCTGCAGGGCAAGAGAGGCTGCAGAATCATCAGGTCTGTCATGTTCCTGTCTCTTTGTGGTGGGAGTCCCCAAGGTCACAAATTCACACAGACAGTGATGAGAAATAAAAATACTTACTGCTAAAATACTTGGGTTGCGCTGCAGTTTGTTGTAAGGACTGTATTTAGGTTTCATAGGCTTTCCTGCAACTCTGTCCTTATGCCTTCGGCTGGAAATGTGCTGAAATAAATATCCTCACATTTAATTAGCTCTTTAAACATTTCTCAGTTTTGAGTTTGAAAGTGATTTATCAGCAGGATATGCCTAAGCCCCTGTTTGTAAGATAAAGTAGTTTCTTTATTGAGAGCAAGGATGAGTTTTGCTAAATTAAACATAACAATTTGGAGCATATCAACCAGAGAATCAGAAACTAATCAAATACAGCATATTTTGTGATTCAAGACAGGCTCTGCAAAATACTGATATTTTAGTTAGTATTTCCTTTTTCAACTTGAGGAGCTTTAAACCAGGCAGAGTTGTAATCACTAGGTCACAGAGATACTCAGAAGTAAGAGGTAAATTTCCATCTTGCTGATACTGTTCAGTTGTGTAAACAATTCAATATTAGCTGAAGGAAGAACCAGTACCCAGGGACATGTCTTCACATGCATTTAAAATTATCTTAGAGCTAACTAAAAAACAGGGAATGAGAGGACACATTCACACAGCACAGCACCATCCAGTCGGAGATTCCCATTTGGGTACCAGAATCATTGCAATTGTATGGGCACAGCTCTGAACCCAGGGCTAATTGGCTCAGACAGAGAACAGCTCCATGGGCACACAACAGCCACAGTTAATGCTAATGTTGTTCTACATAATTCACACATATCTACAGTGTTACCCTACTGGTGATTGCCCCAAAACAATAGATTTGAGTCATGTTTTCCTTCTCACATAGCATTAAACATTATTAGAGCAGACTGAAAACAGCACTGAAAGATGAATTCAGGGAACCTTATCCCAGAATTTCTTACAGTTACGAGAACAAGATTCAAATCCCTATCTTGAACCACAGAAAACTTTTAAATGAGATCTGCTGTACCATTCATTGATACCCACACCTCTGCTTTTACAACTATCAAGCCCATTTTTTCCAACTAAAATAATAAGGTGAAGTTGACCTATGATGAAATATTTAGAAATAGTTGTGGGAAGACAGATAAGAAATACTAAGTTCATTCAATATTCACCAACATGTCTTCACACAGTCCTACACTGCACCTACAACATTGCAATGTAAAAAAGAGCTCCAGAGACATGCAAGTTACCTGTTTAAGCTGAATTTCTGAATTAACATGGACATCACAGATTTCACAATGGAACGTCTTGTTCTGCAGTCCTGAGCCTTTGCTGCCATTCTGCACCTTCATTCGGGATCCAGGCCTAGGGTAAGACTTGATGGGACCAGCACCATTCCGAGCTTCAACCATGGTCTTGTGCTTGGAGCCTAATGGGCAAGGGGATGCAGGTGAGTTCATGATCCGCAGCACAAAACATTCCCTCAGCCTTGGGACTTTGTAACATTTATCTTCAAGACAGAATGGTTAAAGTCACCACAGACTGGGACTAATGATCCCTCTTGTTTCAGTCAGTGTAGTTCCTGCATCCTTGATCCAGAGGCAAGCCAGAAGGCTTTGTGCAAAACAGGGAACAGCAGGCATGCTGGACCACACCATTTGGGGCAGTGAGTGACTGGATAGCCAGAGGGTTTGCTGCTTATTCTTTTGCCAAATTCCACAGAGCCAGTGAATAGCAGAAAAGGGTATTAGCCAACACTGGGACAGGAACCACAGCAATCCCTCAAAACCTGCCTAGGAACAGTAATACTTCAATAAATATCCTCTGATTCAGTAAAAAAGGGCTGTTTTACCCATTTCAAGAATGGATTACAGCTGTAAAACCAGCTTCAATGGCTTGTTAACAAGCTTTACATCACCAGCACACCATACACAGACAGAGCACACCATACACAGACAGAGCACACTAGGGATTGCTGCTTGTGGTCCAAAAAAAAGACACATAACAAATCTTCAATAATCAGAAGATTCTATGACATCTAGGAAACCTAATGAGCCCACCCTAAAATTATAAAAAAATGAAATAACAAATAAATTACTCTAAGTTTTACCAGCAAATAGCAGACACTAATGATAATGAGATAAAACATGAAAGAGAGAAAACACTCGCATTTTAGAAACCTTAAGTGTTGTAGAAACCACTATGATCTTACTGTGATCCTCAGTGTGAAGGTGTGAAGGGATGTGATTAGTTCACATGAACTTTAAGGATTTTGTCAACTAAAAATTTAGAGAGTACATGAAGAACAGTTAAAAAAAAATAGGGAGTGCTTTAATAGAATATCAAAAACCACACAGGAAACTGCCACAAACAGGACCAGTGTTTTAACTTGCTATTTTAAGTTTTAATTAAAAGACACTTCAGTGAAGTGTGGCTACCACCCTGTAATATTGAATTTTAAATATGTTAATACACAGCTGACTTGTACCATATGGATACTCACCTGTATTGTGGGCTTCTAGTTGTGAAAGGGAATTCACAGCCACTTTGCATAATGAACAGTAAAGTAGTTTTTTGGCTTTTTCCTCTTCTGACTCAGTAACTGCGTTAGCAGCTCCGTTGGTGCTCTTGGAAGACGAGGCAGGTGCTGCAGGCACCACTCCAGGTTTGGGAAGAAAAGGATCCACTTCTGCATTGGACTGCTGACTCACACAGTTGGGTTTTTCATTCCCTTTATCTTCTAAAAGAAACAAAATACATATGTTGTTGTTTTATGCCACACATATAAAAAGCATACAGTAATAGTCCTGTGGGTTTAGTAAACATAACACAACAGGGGACTAATTTATCTCATTTTACAGAAGAGAGCAGCATCCTTGAAATCTTGTAAAAAAGGCCTGCCATGAAATGTGTGTAATTTGACAAAAAGGGGTGATTGTCCTGTTTTCAAAGTTACCAGTGAATACCAATGGGCTCACCAAATTCATGCCAGCTGTTGTTGCTGTTGTGCTGCAGGCATGGCCAGCTGAAAGGAGCCCAAGCAATACCAAAGGAAGCCAGGGTTAAGGGCTGGACAGCACTTAGAAACAAGCAAGGCCTTGCACTGGGGATTAAAAAATATTTCTCAAAAGCAATACATTTGCCTTTGGAAGGGCTCAAGTTTCTCAGAGTCACTGGGAGGACAATGAAAGGCTCCAGCACTATCTTGACATACATCCCTCATTTCAGTTCCAGGAGTTATGGCACTACACATGAACACAGTTGCTAATACTTTTAGGTTTTTCCATGAACAACTCCCCATGTATTTGTGGATCAGGTGGCTTCTGTGTGCATTTAGTGCATTCCTTTGTCACTTCACAGGCATGAGTCAATCACCTGTGCTCCTGTGGGGCACATAGGCAGGTATCACTTCCTTTTGCAGATGGCGATCAAAAAGCAAGAGATAAAATGTCTCAGCTGTGCCTACAGAGGAACTTTGTGCCAGAGCCAGTATTTAAATGCTCCCTGCTTAAATGCTGCCCCTCAAGGGCTCATTGCATTTGAAACTGTTCAACTGCAGGCCTTGTGACCACAAGCCATATTAGCTGCCAGCAGTAAAACAAGCTCTGCCCAAAACTAGCACGGGATGGGAGGGGGGCAGTGCAGGGGTGCTGGTATAAGCAACCCCGACAAAACAGACATGAATAAGTGTCACTCTGAACAGCTGGAATCAAATTTCATCATCTAAGCAAGCACATCTACATAAGAGCAGCCTCCCCATGTGAAACCCATGGCTTAATTTGAAATAGACCTGAACTGACTTGAAAAACTAGGCTCTATTTAGAACATTTATTTTTTAACATGGACCCTTGCACTTTATGTTTACCGCTACCAGACTCTGTCTTAACATGCCTTTGTCTATCAGGCCAAGACTGTGCTACCAAGAACTCTGAAAACAGGATTGTACCCACTCAAGCAAACACTTGAAAGTGTGTATGAACTATGAATAGCCATCCTGAAACTAACCCCCACAGATGTTGGCATATTTCCCAGAAGTGCATTGCAGTACATCAATTTTAGATTGTTATAAACCAGGAGAAAGAAAATTCTAATAAAAGAACTATTATTAAAAAAAAAACAAAAAACAAACAATAAAAATGCTTGGAAATTACACAATATGAACTGTATTAAACATTGAAAATAGTCCAGTACAAAGACTAAAATTATGACCAAATTAATGTTAAAACCAGATTCTGAAGGTATTTTGATTGACAAAGTATGACAAAAGAAACTGATGTTAAATTGTACTTCATAGGCTAGTCAATTTTAAAGTCTCCATAGTAATAAGTCACATCTGCAAAAATCTAGAATACTTTATATGACTTATGAGTCTTCATAAAAATATAGCTTCAATAAATAGCATTTGCTAACATTCTAAATTAAAGAGTTTTCAATATGGAAAATTCTCAGAGGTGCTAACATCTACAAATGAAACACACTGAGCAGCTGTCATTTGCAAATTTACATTACTGAAAAACAGAATTGTTGTTGTTGTTGTTCTATTCAATATTATGTCAAACTGCACAAGGCATAACACCAGGATACATATGAACCAAAATGGAATAAAGGAAGGTCCCACAGTATTTTGCATCTCACGCCTTAAAGGAAAAATACACCTACATAACTGCAGGCTGCATGTTAACACATACCAACTACACTTCTAGTTTGGCTTTGGGGGTTTTTTATGTTGTTTCCCATGTATTTTTTTTAATGTAAGCATAAAAATTTGGTGCTTTTGAAACACCACCTGGAGATAGAAATCATCACCCCTGTGCAACAAGAACAGTGCTTACCCTCCTGCCCACAGCCTCTGCCTGCACTCATCTCCCTCACAACAAGAGGGAGCAGACTTTATTTGTTTTGCCATCAAGTGTCTGTGGAGTAAGATCCCAAGATATGGAAGAAGATCCATTTTACATGGGCCAGCAATTACCATCACACAGTGATGGTTTTCCAATGCTGAACTTAACAGATGATTGAAAAAATTATAGATTTCATTTCCCACTTCTCCTCACTTAGCTGGTCAACAGCTGATGCAGTATGTTGATTTTTATAATACTCCCCAGATTTACAGTGTTTTCACTATTCATATTCCAACAATTCTAGAGTATACACACTAACAAGAAAACTTCTACAAAACCAGAGAGAAGTTACCAGCATGCAGCTGGGCTCAATTCTGCCAATATCACAGCTTTTGGAAAGAACCTCAGCTCACATAATAATTCCATCATTTGGAAAGCTTCCTGACACAAATAAGCTCTTCATCGATGGGGATGTATAAGGAGAGACATACACCCCTCTATGAATTAATGTTTCCTTCCACCATTCTAAATGTTTAATGCAGAACATCTTCAAAGATCATCATTGTAAGGTTATTATACAGTTGAACTCCCACAGAAAGTACACGGAGCTAAGTGTGTATTTGTCATTGCAGTCAGCCCAGAACTGCATTTTCCTGGCTTCTAAAATCAGAAAATTGCCCTTCTCCAAATGGGCTTTTGATAACAGCTTACTGTTTCAATCCACATAATTCAAAACACCATTACTTACAGTTTTATGTTTGAGACAGAAATGCCAACTATTCAACAGTGCAAAGCACAGGAAATGCAAATTGCATGTCTATAGAGAGCACAAAGACAACTACTCTCTTATTTGTACCTACAGCACAGAGCTAACAATATCTGCATACAGGAATCAGAAAATGTAACTGTCAATGGCTGCATGCATACCATTCCTTCCCTACTATCACCACCTTATAAAATAGATGTGACTTGTGAGATGCAGCTGTAGGTTTACAGTCCTCTTGCTATTTCTGAAGGTATTATTCAGAATAGGCTCAGATTTGCTCTAAACTCCACCTGGCTCAAGACCAATAGAGCCAGGCAGAACCCAAATGAGTGTAGGAGTGAGAGGAGTGAGTCCATCCTGCCTGGACCATGGGCACACCAGGTTCTGCTGCACAGCTTAGCAGAGCACAGCTGGAAGCATGAGACCAGGGCAGTACCAGCCTACTGCCTGAAGGGAGTAGTTGTGATTCAGTCTGCATCAGGGTCAGGTTGAAATGCTCACACCAAAACTCAAGTGCAACAAATTAACTTAAAATCTAATTTATCCTGTTTCCCTATGTTCACTTTCCATGCAGAAAAGCCATATTTCATGTGTCTTAAATTCCAGAAAAGTAAATTGATGACTCAGGTTCTTACTGAAGCCTGCATTTATTTTGAAATAGAGCCCAGGGAAAATAACTAAAGCAAGCTCATTAAGTATTGCTTTGGGCTTGGTAGTATCAATGCTATTCTTACCCATTACATTGTTTTAATTCTGCTTTGAAGTTGTTTTCATGTATTTCTGCTTGTTTGACTCATGCTTGTGTCAGCGCCATGTTAAAATTCAAGACTCATTTATCTGATCAGCACTGCCTCATTGTGAGTACCAAAGTCAGGACACTGCAGGGCAACACCTCACAGGTTCAAACCTACAGGTTTTACTGCTTCACATATACAGCTGGAGTGACTCACTGACCTTGGCAGGTCATGCCACTCTCACTGCAGTTGCTGTGGCGTAGAGAATAGGTCCTACCCATTAATGGCATTTATTTCTTTTTGAGTCAGTGATGCTTTGGTGCACATTAGAAAGAAGGTTTATATGGACTTTATGAAGAAATCATACATGCTATTTTCAACAACAACAACAACAAAGAGTAACTTAATATTCAGATCCTTAATTCAGAATTTACATTCTTGATAAAAATAAAACCAATGTGAATTTAAAATTCATGTATAGATTTAGAAATCTGATAAAGTTTTTCAGTATCAAAATCTTCATTGCTACTTACACCCCTCAACATGCCTACCTGCCCAGTTTTTATCACTGATGATACATAAAACATCTTTACAATAATGCTCTGTTCCACAACAGATAGTTCAAACAGCAGTTAGAATTAAAACATCCAAGGCACTGATGGTATGTGATACACTTGCAAGAACCCTTTCCAATACATATGCTAAAAAGCTTTCCGATATGAAGTTCTGCTACGATCCTAATAACTCTTACAAAACTGTCATGTTTTCCAACTGTCAAATTTTCTGCTGTATGTAATAAATAAACAAATTCACTCTTGCTTTGACAGTAACAGAACAATGTTTCCTTTACTGAAAATACATGTTTTGTGTGTGTCTGCATGTAATAAAAAAGTTTAACTTTGCACTTGCCTGCTTCTCTTCTCCACCAGAAACTGGGACAATTGCACACAGCCTGTGCTGAAGGCTGGGCACAGAGAGGGAAGGATCCTGGGACTGAGAACAGCTGCCCAGCACTGACTGTGATGCAGCTGGCTCTCCACTGGGAACAGACCATGCCCTGCTTACAGCCACCCACTGCCCAGCTTCAGCTTCACACCTTCCCTTGTGCCACATCCTTCACTGCATCCCCCAGCTCCAGGCACTGAACAGCAGCTGTGCACAAAGTACTGACAGCAACAGGGCAGCACAGCCACTGCAAAGTGGCCACTGCTGCTCTACAACCCTGCACTGAAGTTCTTTTGTGAGGTTCACTCATTTGCCATCCTAGGTAAAGAAATCTGATTTTATATTTCTTGTTTTTATATAGATTTTATATATTTTATTATATATTTATATAATGATTTTATATTTCCTGCTTGCACAATAGTGCACATTGCCAAGTTAGAGGAGATCATAATAA